GGAGAAGCCATACGGATGCCTAGGGTGCGTTTGGCAACCATTCTGTTTTCGAAAATTAATTATGCTAAAAAATGATTCTTTTTTATTCCGTGCCCAAGAACAATTTCTAAGTATTTGAAAGCATTTGGTAACTGCCCAAAATTTCTATTCTTGGAATAGAAAAAGAACAGAAATACGTTTGGTAACCGCACAAAATTTCTTTTTATTAATAATATTTTAATAATATTTTAAATTTTTTAATATTTCTTTCTTTCTTTCCCTTCCCCTTCCTTGGCCTTGGCCTTGGCCATGGCCAGGGTTGGTGAGGGCGGCCCTCACCCAGGCCGTGAGCCGCCCTCGCCGGATATGGCAAGGGCGGTGGCAAGGGTTGCCCACGCCGGATCCGGTGAGGGCTACAATGCCCTTGCCAACCTTGGCCTGTGGCCAGTCGCCAGCGGCCAGTGACCAACCACGGGCCAAGAAGAAGAAGAAAAAGAAAAAAAAATTTCTTTTCCATTTCTGATTTTAAGAACAAATTTTTGTAAATTTGTACCTAAGAACAAAAAATTTACCAAACGGATTTCTGTTCTAAAACTGATCTTAAGAACAAAAGAATAGAAATAGTTACGGTTTGACCGGTTGCCAAATGCGCCCTTATATGGCACAGAGCACTCTTAATTAGGTGAAAAAGATTGTAAAGAACGAGAGAAGAAAACTCCGCCTAAAAGTCAACTGAGTAGATGCTCTTTCCATATTCGTCGATCGAATGACTGAAGCTAATTGCCAAAAGTCGAGATATTACTCATCCAAGGGTGTGTTTGTTTCAGGGAAAGTGTTTTCCAGGAATCCGTTTTCTAGACTTTTACCCGTTTGGTTTACCGAAAATGATTAGTCAACAGAAAACACTTTCCGGAATTGCTTCCCTTTACTGTTTTAATATTTTATTATTTTCTTTCTTTTCTTTTCTTTCATTTTTTTCTTTTTCTTTTTATTTTTAAAAATAAAAATATTTAAAAATTCGAAATTTTGTTTTGCTTGAGATAAAATCATGGGATTGAAATCATTTTCCAAATGAGATCCAAACACCAGAAAATATTTTCGATCACATATCATCAAACAAATGAAAACTAACTATTTTCCTGGAAAATGATTTTCCGGAAAATATTTTCCAAAAACATTACATTTTCCGCCAAAAAGGTCAACTAATTAGATGCTCTTTCCATATTCATCGATCGAACGAATGACTCTGATCACCAAAAGTCGAGATATTACTCATCTAAGGGTGCGTTTGTTTCACGAAAAATGTAACGTTTTTGGAAAATGTTTTCCGAAAAATCATTTTTCAGGAAAATAGTTAGTTTTCATTTGTTTGGTGATATGTGATCGAAAACATTTTCTGGTGTTTGGATCTCATTTGGAAAATGATTTCAATCTCATGATTTTATCTCAGGCAAAAAAATTTTCGATTTTTTAAATATTTTTATTTTTAAAAATAAAAAAGAAAAAAAGAAAAGCAAGAAAATAATAAAATATTAAAAAAGTAAAGGGAAGCAATTCCGAAAAGCGTTTTGACCTTCTTAGATTATGGAATTCACTTTCCTAATTTTATACATGAATATTTTCCTTGACCGGAAAGTATTTTCGGTTGACTAATCATTTTCGGTGAACCAAACGGGTGAAAGTCCGGAAAACGGATTCCTAGAAAATACTTTTCTTGAAACAAACGCAGCCTAAGCAGCATTTTGAATCGCTTAAAACACCTCTCACTCTTCACACTTGCGGGGTTAATAAGAAGGTGGGTGTAGGGGCAAAATCCTTGATTGAGCAGACACCCGCTTTTTCAGGCAATAAGCTCGAAGCTTGCACGTCTCAAAGCGTGAGTGTGAACCGCACGCCACCCCCTAACCGGGCCCAAATTTAGCAACACTTTGCAAGTTTTTGCGAATGGGATGTTGGGGAATTAGCCTTTGAATTCGAATTGGCCCCCCCCTTTATCGCCTTTGCATTGCATCCACTTACAAGCCACGCATCTTCACAAGGGTCCTTTCACCCCCCCTCCCTCCCCAAATGTTGACCGCTTAAGACAACGACACCTCCTTTCTTTTTTTACACAAAATCGGAAAGGAGACAAATAGCTTATTTCGAGATAATTGCCCCGGCGATTAAACTATTCGATGCATTAACGAGAAGGGTTGGCCGAGCGATCCAATTGAGGGTTTGAAAGATTGTATTGGGAATGGCATTGGACTATGCAGCTTATTTGCGTCGCGGGGGCTTCCGATCGATTGGTCCGTGATTGGGGTCGGGTCACCTTCGGGTAACTCTAGGGAGGAGAAAACGAATGCGCAAGAATACAAAAGCCAAAAGGGTGACAAAAATTAAGCGAAACGGGCAAAAGGTGTACGCTTCGCCCACCGCGGAGCTCTTTAAATTTACCGTCCCCTTGGGTTGTACAAATAGGGCCTCGCTGCTTTAGTAAAAGGGTCACTCGTATGCCCTCATCTCAGGTTGGTGATCAGTCACAGATCTCGCAGCTGCTACTTCTTCTAGGGGGAGAGAGAGAGAGAGAGAGGGAGGGAGGGAGGGGAAGCGATGGAGAAGATGAGGGGGCTGAGCCACCTGTTCATGACCATATACCTGCACAACTTCTCGACGTTCATGGTGATCCCCGCCATCACCGACGTCACGATGGCGGCGATATGCCCCGGCAGAGACGAGTGCTCCCTGGCCATTTACCTCACCGGGTTCCAGCAAGCGGTACGTGAACTCTTCTTCTCCGGCCAAGCGCCATCTCTTCTCCGTCTTGTTCGATGCGCATGAATTTAGCGCGGTTTGTTTTGTGAGTGGAACGGCGTGTTTGCGATCTGTAGATTAGCATCCCCCCTTTCTTGATTTCATAGTCATGGTTGATATGGACATGAGAGGAAATGCAGTTGTTTTAACCTTTTCTTTTCCCCTTGAACGAGTATGTTCATGGCCTTCTAGACCCTACTAGTTTCATTGATCATGTTAAGTGCAACAACGAGTGAATGACCTAAATATATAGTTTATCTACTCACGAAAGTGAGAAATAGAATCTGTTTCGCACCCGTAATCAATCCGCACATAATTTTCGTACCCCTCGAAATTGATTTGCTAGGAAGAAAGCATCTCTCCTTGAGATAATATAGACATGAGAGGAAATGCAGTTGTTTTAACCTTTTCTTTTCCCCTCGAACGAGTATGTTCATGGCCTTCTAGAGCCTACTAGTTTCATTGATCATGTTAAGTGCAACAACGAGTGAATGACCTAAATATATAGTTTATCTACTCACGAAAGTGAGAAATAGAATTTGTTTCACACCCGTAATCAATCCGCACATAATTTTCGTACCACTCGAAATTGATTTGCTAGGAAGAAAGCATCTCTCCCTGAGATAATAGCTCTTTCCTTTTCCCTTCAAGATAATCCACCTTTACGTATCTTGATTTCTGTTGGCATTTGTTTTCGAAAAAAATCACGGGCTGTATTGATTGGATGCGCATTTCGGTTTTTATCTAAGTCATTGAATTTGACGGGTCTCACGTGTGAAGAGGGCGAATCCTTGCTATTATTAAATGGATCAAGTGAATGCTTCCGATGAATGGAGCAATGTATGCCTTTTGGGGTCACATCGACGCTAAATTTTAGCCACAAACTTGACTAAAACCGCATCAAGTTCATGTCCAAATGTGCTGTTTTCCGGATGGTGATCGCGCCTTTAAAATCACTGCTGCACTATTCCAGTCTTTGGACAAAACTTCTCGCACCAGCTAATTGGGGGACAAAGCTTGAATTCGTGAGGTACAAACGAAGCATCTCCTTGAAAATCTTGTCGTGACCCCATCTTTAACTTCGAAGCTTCCCAAAAGTTCGTATAAGAACGGGACAAGATTATATCAATGTCACGGGTCGAACGAACGTCTTTCCACGATCCCAACTCGGCTCCAACAACATCCGAGTCATTTTCGTCGAATCATACATCCGAACCGTCCCGTTGGGACAGTCGCGCATATTGACTTCTCAGACCCATTTCCTATCATCAGACCAAATCTCTGGTGTATGCCTTTTTGGGACCTAATACAAGCTCGTGGTTGATGGGACGACGTGCTTTCTTTCTTTCCAACTAGTGCACGTTTGGCGTGCTTTTCGATCTCGCTACATGTCACGTAGCGAAACTTCCTCTTCGCTTCGCGCGGTGAGGCGCTTTGGAGCTCTCTGTTCCCAGTTTGCATCGGGTACCATCATCGTACCCACTTTTCAGGGCCCGCAATGGCATCTTCGTCGACCTTCTTCCCTCGCTCTTAGTACGAACAGTTCGAAATCTCGGGAAGTGACGAAGTAGCTCTTCACAAATTGACAAACCTCCTCCAGCCCACGACTGAGGCCCAATCTCCAAACTCTTCTCAGCTTCAACATCCACGGGCCTTTGTCCTTCAGTTGTCGCCAGTTCTGTTGAGTATAATAAACTCTTTCTCTTGCTTCCAAGCATGTCTTGTCTCGCTTCCAAGCGCCGGTGTCTCCTCCTGTGGAGCCTTCTGTTGAAGTTGACCCTGGCTTAGATCCAGACTACCCCACATGAAGTGATCGACAATGGATAACCTAATCGCCCGCTAGAGCTATCTTAGAAGTCCTCCCCCAGCTGGTTTTTAACCCAAACGAGCGAGCCACGGAGGTAGACACCGAGTACAAACTCCAAACGGGCCGGTTCTTCGAGTGAGACACACGTTTTCGTTCTTGCTCGAAGAACTCGCAAGCTGCGTCGACATCGCTGTCTCGGCGACCGACCGCGAATTAGGGCGAAGTGCGTGGGGAGTGCATGTGCTCGTGCGACCATTGGCATATGAATCCGAAGCGTGTCCGAGGCCAATAACCTTTTACCACTTCGCGAGTATTGATACGTCAAGAGCAGTAAGGTTGGGACTATCTTTAATCCCAGAGTGGCTCTCATCAAACTGTCGACTCGCATTAATTACCGTAGAAGCTACCCCCGTCATTATCCACTTTGCTGAAGCACTTTCGAAAACGACGCGCTGAATAAAGAACTCGCCGGCGATCGAGTCCATCTTTTTCTTCCTGGTTTAACGGATTCTCGCAGCTTCTTCAGATGCGTGCCTATAGCAAAAGCTAGCTCCTTTCACTCCTGTTCCGTATCTGATCTTGATCACCACAGTCAGTCACTCACTCTTCTGCTCGCGCGCGCGAGAGAGCGAGAGAGAGAGAGAGAGAGAGAGAGAGATGGAGGAGGGGGTGGCGAGGTTGAGTCATCTGTACATGACATATTTCCTGGGACTATTCTCGGCGACCATGGTGTTTCCGGTGATCGCCGACGTGACGGTCTCCGCTCTCTGTCCCGGGCAAGATCAGTGCTCGCTCGCGATTTACCTCTCCGGGATCCAACAAGTGGTAAATTCTTTCCTTTCTCTTTCGTTCTGCCCTCCACTTTCTTGGCTCTCCCTGTAAAAATACCCAATCTTTGAATGAATTTCCTTTGCATTCAAAGCCTCTAGTATGTGCAAGTCGGAAAAGTCGGACCCGCAGCTTAACAAGGGGTGTTGTTGTTCTTCCATGTCCAGGCCATTTCTTTTCTCTTAACATGACACTCGGTTGCTTCCTAATATTAGTCTAGCAAAGTATATATGTTATACCGTTGCAGGTGAGATTTACGGCATGTATGATATTTGCTGCATCACTGGGATTATTCGGTCATGAAAGCTTATAAGGGTATTTTTTTTAAAATGTTTGGAATAACTTCTTGAGCTGAGCTTTGAAACCCCATTTAATATCTCTTTCTCTCCATTCGCTGAATCCGATATTCTAAAAAGCTGTTCGTGAAAGATGTTCGGTATTATAACTGTGTTGTGTGATAACTTATGTGATTGACAATACATAATATTTGAATACGGGTTTTTCTAAAAAGCTGGTATAAGCGATGTCCCTTCTTTTTTTTAACAGCTAGGAAAGCTACAATGACATGGTTTTAATGTACATATCATACTCGATCACCCATCAATTCATCGTCTCTCTCTCTCCCTTCCAAAGATTTCTTTCCGGTGTAAAACAAGCAAACATTTGTACGATCGGTGCGAGCGCGACGCGACTGATCTTAATCACCAAATCACGTGAATTAATGAGATCCACGTGATTTAGCGGTCGAGATTGACCCAAACAGCCGAGCTTGTATGAACTCGGGGCATGTAATAATTGTATCCGTATCTTTCTTTCGGGGCATTTCAACGAGGGCGGGGGGGGGGGGGGGGGGGTCCCATGGTTTAGAATATCGTATCTCCTACCTCGGTATGGGTGGGACCCACACTCACATCCCACGTGTCAATTCATTCCTCCCGATGTGGAGCCCACCCCCCACCCTCAATGGACGGTCCCCCCCAGCTTTGGGCTTTTGGTCAACCATTTTGTTTTTGTTTGATGGTCCATCGACACCCTTCTTTTCAACCACATTAAAGCGCTAAAGACCAAACAGGTCTAAAAAAACAAGTCGCGAAATGACGATATTAGCCCCGCCCTTTTGTGCCACTTGTGTCTTGTAAATGGTTGGTCCTTTGCGACCGTTTCTTCTTTATTTTTTGACTTTTTTTTTTTTTTTTGGTTTCGATCCAAAAGAAAAAAAACAACTAATCCTTTTGCAAATTTCTTTTTTCTACACATTTTTTTTTCGAGGAAATAACGAATTGCTTTTTGCAAGAGCGGAAAATAATAAGTTTATTACTCCACGGGAGTTGAAGTTTCGTTGTGTGGGCATTTTAACTGCACACGATACTCTTCCTAGTCCTCTTTGGTCGTGACATTATTAGGTTCTAGAGATAATGTTTCTCAATGATTAGGAAGTCGGTTCGTACTTAAAAATAAATATTACTCCAGACGAATCGAAAGTGGGAAAGCTTAAATTTTTAGCGTGGCAATGCATTGGATGTCATCCGGTAACTCCTTAATATATACCCATGAATCCGTGGCAATGTATTGGATGTCATCTGGCAGCTCGTCAATTTTTAAATGCATGAAATCACCGTTCCAAGTGTTGTTGTTGTTGTTGTGGGAATAACCGAATTTGAGAGTATTTTGGGTAAAATTGAGGGGAGGCACCGATTTTAAAAAAGTTTTCTTTATAATAGCATCGACATATGTAAGCAACTATAAAATGCACTCGTTGAACTACATCCGTGCAATTTAGACGCAACATGTCCAAAGAATATCATCCCACAAAAATTTTTCTTTCATCATTTAATAACTTAAAAAACTAATTCTCATTCTCTCGTGCATGAGCTTTGATTGATCTATGCTTTGACTTGATATCTCTAGTGATAGTGCCCAGCTATTAGTATTTTGTGCATTTATTTGGTTTGAATCACTTTGTTTATTGGGGTTGCACTTGCAGATAGTGGGATTGGGCTCACTGGTGATGATGCCATTGATAGGGAACCTCTCAGATAAGCATGGGAGGAAAGCTTTGCTCACCATTCCCTTGGTCTTCACCGTGCTTCCCTTGGGTAATGCTCCATCCCTAAGTTTCATTCCCATAAAATTGCAGCTTCAATCTTTGCTTATAGACCCATGAGGGTGGATGAATCTAAGGTATCTGCACGAAATGGTCACTTGATATAATCGTCGATACCGACGATCTAATGAAGTGGATTTTCGAGGTGCCTTACACGTGACAATTTCCGGGTTGTAGCCATCTTGGCTTATAGCAGGTCGAGGAATTTCTTCTACATTTACTACGTGCTCCGGACTCTGATCGCCATGTTCTGCGAAGGAAGCGTTCACTTCCTGGCCCTCGCTTATGTGGTAAAACTTCTCCTTTCCCTTTGAGTGCACACATTACCCGTAGCTCCATATGTATTTGCAAAATCAGTCGTAAGGAAAAGTTGGTCATGCCCAATGTGTAATTCGGTTTATTTACAAGCTGGCCCCTTTAATATTCTGAATTTTGCGCATATGAGTCCTCAATCCCTTTATATCTCAATTTCAAAATAGTATACGAAAAGAAAGGGTAAAAATTACTAAAAACTCTAAACTATGCTCACTGTGACACTTTTATCATGAACTTTTTTTTTTTGACGTCCAAAACCCAAATTATGCCTACCGCGATACATTTACCTTAAAAAATTCCAAACTTGTACCTATGCGACACATTTACCTTCCGTTAAAATTCCGGTGTTTTTATTTCATTTTAACTCACGTGGGCGTTATATCAACACCGTTTGCCTTCCGACATTCACGTAATCAGATTTTTTAATGGTACTAATTGACAGAATCTTGATAAATGGTAAATGTGTCGCGTAAGTAAAATTTCAGGATTTTTCGTTAGGACAAATATGTTACCGCGGGTATAATTTGGTATTTTGGGCGATTTTTTTTTCCCGAGAAATGTCGTGTCCCCTCGGTTTTCGTATCGCGCATCGAGTCGCGAAGCGCTGTTTTCCCTCGCTTCGAGCTTCGTTCATGGCGGCATCACGCGTTCCATTGACCCCCAGGCGGACAACGTTCCCGCCGGAAGAAGAGCCTCCGCCTTCGGCATCCTCTCCGGCATCGGATCCGCCGCCTTCGTCTGCGGCAACCTCTCCGCTCGCTTCCTCTCCACTCCCTCCACTTTCCAGGTCTGTCGGTCCCTCCCTCTCCCTCTCTCTCTCTCTCTCTCTCCGCTCGCTTCGATCTTCGAGTTCGATCTTCCTCACGATCGCTCGTCGCCGGGCAGGTCGCGACGGCGGTGGGGGTGGTCGCCCTGGCGTACATGGCGTTCTTCCTCCCCGACTCCGTCGGCGGCGGCGGCGGCCATCCTCTGACCGCACCGATCGTCTCGAAGGAGGGGAAGCTGGACGGTGCTTGCCCCGGCGGCGATTCGGCAGACAAGGCGCAGGCGTTTAAGAAGGCGGCTTCCTTGGGGGACACCGTCTCCTTGTTAAGGAGCAGGTCAGTTGAACTCTCCAATCTCTCGTGACTCCTCTTACTTCGATGTTGAATTCCTAAGCAGAAGAATTTGAGGCGGCGGAAAGAAAAGAGCATCCATCTCTGTACTTGACAGACTTAACGCGAATGGTTAGGGACGTAATGTGGTTTTGTGATCAAATGCCGCAGAAATTCGCCTACCTGTGCTTCATGATGTATCTCTGTTTTGCAGCTTACAACATGTAATGGTGTAATTAGGTCCATCTCTTGTATAACCGTGCAATTGTTTTGCAGCCTGACGTTTTTGCAAGCAGCAATTGTCGCCTTTTTTGGCAATCTCGCCGATGTTGGTCTTCATGCTTCGATGATGGTACTTCTCGGCTTTTGTTTATCTTCAAGTGTCGATTTTTCTTATTGTCCATTAACATACATTGATTTTTCCATCTGTTTGGTCAATTGTGACGAATTTAATACAACGGCGCGAGATTCAATCTAATGTCGAATTATCCCGTCCTTTGAGTGTGTGGTTGAAGAATGAGAATAACGAGTACATGAGTAGTCGATGCTTGACTTAACTGGTAATAGCAAGACCTTTAATTTGTCACGGGCATTTAGCTCACTGGAACAATTTTATTTTTTGGTCACGCAGTACTACTTGAAGGCTCAATTTCACTTTAACAAGAATCAGTTTGCCGACCTAATGGTGATATCTGGAATTGCGGGTACTATTTCTCAGGTATTTCTGGCTCTAATCTTTTGAAGAATTCGTGCGCGTCACCCTTATTTCTCTGCAATTTTATGGTCAATACTCCCCCTTTGGCTGATTTTGGTACTGTAACAATTCTGCAGCTGCTTATCATGCCCCTTTTGGCTCCTGTTATAGGAGAGGCAAGACTGCTTTCGATAGGGCTATTTTTTAACTGTGCACATGTACGTACCTCTCTCTCTCTCTCTCTCTCTCTCTCTCAGTCTTCATCTGTGTGTGTAACTGCATCTTGCCGAGTTATTGAATCTCTGATACATGTGCGAAAGACTTGTATTGTGATTGCTAACTCTCCTTCCCCTGAAATGTGTTTCGCATGCCATGATTGCAGATGATTCTTTACAGCGTCGCCTGGGCTTCTTGGGTAATCCTGTGCCTTCTCTTCCTTAGTTAATTGTATGCATTGTCTGACTTTGCCAATGGCGAAATGGGGCTGACACTTTGGAAATTGATAGGTTCCTTATGCTGCTGCTATGTTCTCTGTTCTGTTCGTCTTCACACAACCTTGTGTGAGTATCTTATTTCATATTCCATAGCTCTTTAGCAGATGTTGAGTGTTAAGTGTTATTTCTAATCAACCTTTAATGATTGCAGATGCGGACTATCGTGTCTAAACAAGTTGGTTCGTGCGAGCAGGTAATTTTAAGTGGAAATAATGTTTTCAAAATTTTTTCTCTAAACTATTGTAGGTGCTGACACCAAAATGTTACTTAATTTACATGTGAATATTTGCGTACCTTCTCTCACTTTGAGTGTTAAACACTTTCTTTTGGGATGAAACTCTTCAGGGTCCGTTGGTAACGACGGGATGCCATTTTACATAGGAATGATGAAGTGTGGGATACGAGTTTGAATCGACATACTTCTTTTCTTGTGTTTGATATGGAACTTCGAAGAATAGAATGAAGATGCAGTCATAATGTTCAAAAGCTGTGTGTTCAAACATGAAAAAAAATCATACATGTTATCTTTATGTGTTTTTTGTGGAGTTGGGAGGAATAGCCATTGCATTGGTAGGTTGCATGACCATCGCATCAGGAACTTCCTCAATAGCTAACCAATCATGGGATGGGAATTTGAGCTAGAATGATGCCTTCATCCCATGTACCAAATGCAAAATTGGGTCTTGTATACAGAGTGCCGGCAGAAAGTTCAATCTTGAAATTCATGAACATGTTAGAGTATCTAGTTACCTCTTAAAAATGATGAAAAAAAGCTCATCACTTGTTATGTCCATTGGTCCTAGTATTTTTTTTTTTCACACATTGGTCCTAGTATTTGACGAGTCATATATCATTTGCTTAATTATAGGGCAAGGCTCAAGGATGCATTTCAGGGATTTGCCAACTTGCCAATGTCGTCTCTCCCCTGGTTTTCTCCCCATTGACAGGTAACCAGAATATTCGAGGCTAATCCTAATGCCTCAATGATATGCTAAGCTAACTAGATTTTATTCATTTGTTGTGCCAGCTTTGTTCCTCTCCGATAGAGCACCCTTCCATTTTCCTGGTTTCAGCATTATGTGCATTGGATTCGCTTCGGTAAGATCGTTAACTATGATTCAACGTACCTACAATGAGGATTCATCTCATCGCCTTATATTGTGAGCATAAGCTCGAAAAATGAGCAAGAACGAGCTAGCCAAACAATCTAATGTGGATCAAATTAAACAATTGAGCTTCCATGAACAGCACAAGAAGTTTTGCAATACATCTTACATGACAAGCTCAGTTCCTTTGAATGTATATGTATTATATACTTTATAGTTGTCACACAATTCCCCAATTTTCTTGGAATGAATGTATTAACAGTAGCCCAAAGGGATCTTGCTCGAGTTCTCTCCAGATTATGGTTAGGCGAAAGTTGTTCATTTGATATAAAGTTGTCTATTTGACTTGGGTGACCTTTAGTGAGTCAGCTTATTATAATTAAGTGTGCGGATAATACTTCCACCTCAAGTCACATGCTAGTCCTGTTGAAAATGAATAAACTGTTAATGGTTGTCTTTTGTCCTATGAGCTAGTTAAATTGATTCCTGATGCTTATTTCTGCCGTACATGTGGTGTTGGTTAGTACTAAGTAGTAACTAAATGCCTGTTTGGTTCTTTTCGATAGCTTATTCTACATTTCAGCATCTCCATCTTGTGAGATCTACATGAGTTGGATTTAAAACACAGATGGTCAGTTGCTTAACATGCCATGCTAAAGCAAGGAAAGGAGAATGCTGTAGAACTTGCTATGATATTGCTGAACCCCTTTGAGCAATGTGCTTGATTTGCTGTTATTTTGCCTGCAAAATTTATGTTGAATCTCATTTTTGTTGTAGATGATAGCCTTTGTCCAGAGTGTCATGATGAGAGTGGCTCCTCCAATATCAGATGGCAGAGTTAGCAACTGCCATTTGCTGGCCTAGATTCTGAAGATCTGAATGCCCGGTAACGAATGTCCTTTGGTCAATTCCAGGGTAAGGCATCAGTCCATGTAAGTTACACCTGGAAAATAGTGTCCTAGGGTCAAGAGTATGTATTTTTTCTGATGGGGGCAAGTTTTCTGCAACACCGTTAGCGACATTGCGCTCATCATAGCTTTTAATCTTTAGAGTTAGTATTAGTTGGTGTTTGAATTCGAATCAGAAGGTATAGCTGTGCCTTAAGGGGTAGAGAAAATGGATCTAACAGCATTATTCTGGTCACCCATGATTGACGGCAATCGTCGATGAAGTGTATTTCTGGGAAGCAAGCTGTTGGTTTATATATGGTGGAAGATGGGAAAGCTTTGGTCTCCAACTTACAGATGAGATGTGGCAGTATCTTGTGATCATATTTTAGCACTTTTACCAAAACATCAAGACACGCAGGGTATCCTCAAGGACGATTCTGATGATCGCTGCGGGAAATCACCGATTGAATATCCGTGATTGGTAAAATTCATTGTATGATAGCAATTTGTTGAACGTATTAGTAAGTATCCGGGTGGATTGTTTGGTCTATTACGTGTTAAGAGGTTATTGGCTTCCATTTGAATTTATCAATTTCTTGAGTACTTATTTGACTTTTTACCGTGGTTATCAAATATACTTATCGCTATATACGAAGGTAGAGCTATGAATAGATAGAGCACGATTAGTCTTTGCTTGGCTCTTTTTCGGCAAGGAGGACTAAATTAGCAATATGAAGATACTGTAAATGTTGGAAGAAATCTCTAGCTTACATTATAATTTATCAATGTTTGTGTTACCAACTTACTTCTCAATTTTGTCAACAACTTAATATACCTGTATTAGAAATATCAAGCTGTTGTATGTTTTTGTAAGAATACAATTTACATTTGAATTTTACCGGTGGTTATCAAAATTTATTAGTTTTATCGACTTTAAGCTACTGGATGCGTTTGTTTTGTGAAAAATGAATGATTTGAAAAATATTTTCCTAAAAATAATCGTTTGTATCGTTTTAAAAAACGAGTGAATGAAAAATATTTTCATCGTTAACAAAGATATCGAGAAATAAATTATTATCGATAATGAAAATATTTTTTATTGATTAATTATTTCAAGTGATATAAATGATCGTTTTTAGGAAAATATTTTTCCGATCATGCATTTTTCGCAAAACAAAGAGAGTCTATGTAGATAACAAATATAGCAGTTTACATTCAGTTTTCCAGTATTATGTTGCTGAAAATGTTTGAAAAAGTTATAACCAATGTGTTGTGATGAGTATGTTACACCTTATATGTAAATTATATCAGAGGATTAAAATCTATAGTAATATTTGGAAAGCAGCCCATAAACAGTGAAATTTTCCAAATGCAAAATTAACACGTGAATTTATCAGTGTGTATTGTCAGTGTTCATTGCCAAGCTACAACAAAATGTTTGATAAGATCACCTTCATTCAAATTTGACCATACAATCCTTAATTTTCTAATTAATTTTTATAGTTTGATATCGATAACCACCAAAAGGTTTTGATAGCCACTGGCAAAGTTTAAATACAAGTTGGTAAATTGCCGATTATATACATTAGTAAATTCGAACAAAAGTTGAAATTTAATGAAATACTTTCGGTAGCTTAATGTTAGATATGATCACGGGCCTAGTGGCCCGTTGGGCTTGCCTACGTCTGCTCGAGCTAATAAGTTTCGAAGCACAATTTGGAAGGTCTATTTCTTATATATGTAGTTACAACAATTTGAAAGTGCAATTTACGATTAGGCAAGAGAAAAAGGCAAAAAGGCACTTTTTTTTTCTCTTCTGCTCGAAATTCTTTATAAAAAAATCAATATTGTATTGTGAAAATATCATATGTGAAAATCTACTGGTCTAATATGTGGATGTCGTGAAAGTGTCAAGTATTACGAAAGAAAGTAAGTCCTAAAAAGGTATGATGATGCGGTTGGCATATCATCGCGTTGAATTATTTGGATCATTCAACAAAAAAATCAATCAAATCTCGACGTCAAATTTTAAGGTTTTGTCGAGTTCTTAAAATCTTGAGGAAGTGGTCCACCGCGAGAGCATAACCATCTCCAACGAAGGTTATAAGTGGCGGCGATGTTCAGTCGTGGCGTCAAGAGAAGGTTAAGCAGGGTTCGTGGCCATGGCGTTTTGGTACTTCAGGCGAAGAAGATGGTGACTGATCCATCCTCTCCTCTCGTCTCCTCAACCTTCTAGTTTTCAGGATTTTCTCAAAACAACCAACTTCTTTCAAATTCTGCGACATATGGTATTTTAAGTTATTTCGAAACAACTCTACGATTATGGCTACACAAACCCGTTTTTCCCTTGCCCAAAAGAAAATAATACAAAAATCCCGTGGATCGAAATCAGAAAGAAATCGGCCGAGCAGTGGCCGCTTGCATTACAAAAATTTACAATTTACCTATTACACCTTTGTTCTGGTTCGGGTTTTCCCGACAGTCCTTGATTCCTTCTTGCTCTCGTGGAGAACTTATACTCGGTGGACAGTCAATCCTGTGCGGTCTTTGCTATCTGCTGCAAGATTTCCACAATTTCGGAAAACTCGGGTCGCAGGGATGGCTCTCGTTCCCAGCACTCGTTCAGCAGCTTCTCTAGGTCCGGATGAGTATGCTCCGGAATAGTAGGCCTAAGACCCTGAATTGGAAGCTCAGTTGTGAACATACGTTTGCCGTGAACTCTGAGAGAGACTGACTAAAATTTTGCCATCACAATTTGGTATTTTCTGCTTCATTTAGATTTTGTTTTCCTCCAGATTCGTATTGGTAACTAGAATAGGATTAAGAAGATGGGCAATTTGTTGGGGTGTCTTAGATACCTTGTGCACCACACCAATTGCGGCTTGTAAGGGCGTTACGTCCTCGTAAGGAAGCTGCACCAGCCAACAATTACAGTAAATAGTAGACCTTGAACTCACGAAGAAGAAATATCAGGCCATCCCTCGAGGACCAACGTAGCAGAATAACTGCTCATTGTTTGTGAAGAGGGAGTTGAATTGAAGTGGCATCCTCTGTGGAGGCCACTAGGTCAAAGTTGATAAGAAAATATTTGCTCACGTGCATCTGCGAGCCCGAGTTCATGCGAATAAGGCAAAAGCCTGCTATCATTTATTGCTTGAACTTGTGTTAATCATGTTACCTTTCCCGTAAGCAGCTCCCACAGCACTATTCCGAAGCTGAAGACATCAGCCTTGTGATCGTATGGTCTATGTTCGATAACCTTCCAAGTATCAACACCAAACATGGACATGTCACGGGTGCAATGCACAAAATACTTGTGAAGAGTATTAAGACTGATTTAGAGATCCCTCCGACTCATTACCATGCTTATTACACGTAAAGACCAGCGACACTTTGTGCTGTAATGTTTTGTAGCCACTGCTCACATCTTTAATGTTTTAATTTACTCCCGTACTTAAAAGCAAATGAGTACTGCAGTAAAATGTAATCAAAAGAAAAAAAATGACAAGAAAATAAAACTTATGAGCTTGCATTATTTTTCAATCATAAATGAACTGTGTTCTGTGAGATAAACTAAGAGACACCTCCTAGCAGCTTGAATGAAGCAATTGATGGCATTCTCCCACCTACCAACCTTAGAAAAATACTCTTACAATTACCGATCATACATATGCTAGCACCTTTGAGACCCATCTACATTTTTGCATGGAGAAACATATACCTGTTCCTCAACATGTCTATTTATATAACTCTCTAACATAAAGCTTGCCATGATAAATCTGTGACAAAACTTTTACTGGGCATAAGTAACTGGATAGATGTTAATATGATAAAAAAAGGAACTCTGACTTTTAAGTAGGTATTTTTTTTTGGTCGAATTTTAAGTTGGATTTCATTAGCTTGCATATATATATATATACATGGATCTAAATTGACATTTAAAGTGAATGATTTGAACAAGATAATGACATTTTAGGACATTTTAAATGAGTAAAAACTGTATCTATTATTTATATAGTTGGTTTACATGTATCGATGCACAAAAAATCAAATAATCTGGCTCTTATGCCGTCTCCAACATCAGAATGGTCCTCCATAGGATGCTTCTTTTGAGGATCTATTTTGCCTACGGATACAGAGTGCGCAAGGAAAGGTGGCAAAATAGTGGCAGCACTAGGAGGGTGGCAATGCACTCTTTCAGGCAAAGTAATGATGTAGTCAAGCTTCTGTTGGGAAATTAACCACAAAAAGCTTTTTTGGGAAATTGAAGAGTACTTTTGAGGGATGGTTCAATATACAGTCCAGTTCTTTCACTCCATTGCACAGATTTCTATCAGAAGAGTCGCAACATGTCATTATCTGGTTATTTTAATCATTTGATTCAAACACTTCTACTTGATCGTTTCCTTCAAGTCACAAACACATCCTCTAGAAAAATCCATATTAACATCTAAAACTTGTTTTAGTCTCTATAAGGGATATCCATATGTGGTCCCGCATCAGAACTCCATTTTACTTGGTGAGAATTCGAGTCGTTATTTATCAGGACTATCGTTTTTCCAATAATAACATGCCTTCTGGCTCTGAACTCTTGCGGTACTCTCTTTTGTGAGGCAAAAGGAGATAAATTCTTTTCCCTTGACAATGCAAGTTAATCAAAATCAATTTCGATCTCTACCCAAGGGAACCTTTTTTCTCGATTAATATCAACTTCTCATATCCCAGCATCAGTAAAGTAGAAAATGCAGTCCTCAATGTTGTAGCTAATTTTGGAGGAAATGGCCTCAACAAAAAAAGGGAAGGTACTAGAAACAATATAAAATAATTATTTTCGCTAAATGCCTACCTCCGGAGCCATCCAACGGTATGTTCCAGTTTCAGCAGTCATCACGCCGGACTGAGTTTGAACTCGAGCAACACCAAAATCAGCAATCTTAACTACCTGCTGCAGCAGTCATTTAGATACTCACTTTGAGCGAAACCTTCAGCAACTGATATAAGGTCTATAACAAAATCTCTTGAGGAACCAGTGATATAAAATAAGTCATGCACAGAGTCATCCAATTGCCCCTCAAAAGCAGGGTTTACATTGCTGTGGGGCCAACCCCAGCACTTGCCTAAACACCACCTTTACTTAACAACATGCTAAATCAAAAAGCTAAGCACGCATGACAAGTCATTATTACGATGCAGTCTCCCTGAAAAACCTCCACAATGTAAACATTTGACACAATGTTAGTTACAACTGGGCTTCGTCATCCATGATTCCCATGCACGTTGGTATCTCTGTCAATTGGCTTAAACATTTGCTGAATCATGACAAATTTCATTTCAGACCAGACCTGTTATAGTTCATCTCATCTGATTTTCCTGAGTGTGACTCTATTTCTGCATATTCACTTTTACATCACATGATAAGCAATGGTGTAAGCAACTTTGCATCTTCATCATCCAGAACCCAATCTTGATCTTGATTTTAGTTTTCTTTTGCATGCTAAAAGACTTCAACAGTAAAAAATGGAAAAAAAATAAATCTCAACATTCAACATGGAATAGAACTGTATTATGACAAGAAAGAAAGTAGCCCAAAGGAGAAAGTGTCGAGAAAATGAGGTTTGAAAGATAAATATCTTACCTCATTTTCATCCATCAAAAGATTAGCAGCCTTTAGGTCCCGATGGATGATATTGTTCTTGTGCAAGTAGTTCATTCCCTTGGAAACATCAATTGCCAGTCTCAGAACAGTTGAAAGTTTGAGAACATCATTTTGCTTATGTAGAAAGTCAAACAGACTCCCACCAGACATGTATTCTGTGAGGAAAAGGTAGAAAAAAGACAGCTGAACTTCGAAATTTCAGATTTCTTATTGAATTTCAATTCTAGCTAACAAAAAAATGGTGCTTTACTATTGCATATTTCCATATGCGGAACTGAAATAACCTGTCACAATGCACAGTCGTGGAGGTCTAGTGCATGCACCAATGAATTGCACGATGTTCTTATGCCTAATTTTCCTGCAAGCATTGGCAAAGAATGAACAAACGGCACCTCCTAATATGTCAGTGCAAGAAGATGACAGGTCAGGACAGTAGAACAGTAAATAAGGAATTCGATGACTCTCGAAGAAGCAAGTTTTATTCTCTCTCTCTCTCTGAGAGGAAGCAGTTGAATCGCTGCATATCAGAGAGCACATGCGTGTGTGCACGTGACCGTGTGCACCTGCGTGCATGTGTTTCTACATGTGTACGTGAAAATAAAGTGGGAAATGGAAGACAGCAAGCCTTACTTGCTATTCATAGAGAAAAAAGATAAACAGAAATAATAAAGGCGATGATTTTGATACATCACTAAAGTATGTTCGCTAATTCTATGTTGCACTAACGAAAATCTTCTGATGGACAACACTCCTAATAACTAATAAGAATGCGCAACTTAATAAATCAGACAATGTCCCATAATAGGAGAATGAACACTGTAAAAATGGGTGTTGTCCTAAAAAATGCTTGAAAAGGAATCAATAACATCCCTGCCAAATCACGAATATTATGAAAGCAAACCTCATTATGTAGACTTCCTGGGCAAACTCCTGCTGCATGGTTTTGTTTAGATGCTCGGTCCTAAGAAGTTTAATGGCTACATCTTGACTTAGAAACATGCCTTTATACCTATATCAATGAACTAGTAACACTTAATAACCATTTATAAGAGATGGAAGAATGCAGTAGGAAGATAAGTACTCACAACTCGGCATATGATCCAGATGCAATTTTCTTTTCAAAGCTTAACATGTTTACATCAATTTCCCAGACATCTTTTCCTTCACTGGAGACATTTACATGGTTATGGTTGGACTTGATTCCATTCTGCTTTTGCTTGTCTGTGTCAGAACTACCATTGCATTTCAGCTGCGGATGCTTCTGCACCAATATTCAAGAGATCACTTGATGCTAAGATTTGATAAATCAAGATTTTACAGAACAGCAGAACTTGGCAAACTTCCCCCACGAGAATGAAATCATGTATGCTTCTTAACCAAGAGCCTAAACGAAAGTAGATGAAGAGAAAGCTTGCAAAAGAAAATACTTCTGAACTAAACATACCATGTCGCTCCTAAGAAAGATGGAAGCAAGAATACTTTTAAATTACCAATGCTGTAGGCTGTAGCTTTCCATACGTGGTGTAGCAAGCACATAACAATTGCTTTATTGTTCAACGTTGATCAGTTCAAAATTTTCACCACAGACTCAAACCAGTTCGAGCATGAACAGCGAATTCACCCACAAAAGTAGCAGTCGAATGGATCAAAATATTCGAGTCACAATGAGCAGGAACATAAACAGCAATAAAAGATCTTTCAAGATGGAATATATATCCCTAAAAATAGCAGCCAAATGTGTTACCTCAATCTTCAACATTTTCTCTTTCAGTATCTCCTTAAGCTCCTCGGTCTTTGTTAAAGACATAACACATAGGAAAAGCAAGTTAGATTCGATAAGAGATGTTCATGACCGAAATTTTTAATATCAAAATGAATAAGAGTACCTCCCGTTCCCAACCATCAACAGCAAAAACGTCCAAGGAATAGCCATCTGTAGTGGAGAAGGCATGTGCTTCTTGAATGTTCAGCCCAATCTCAGACATCAAGGATGTCAACTGAAATCCACAAACAAGCATGAGAAGAAACACAAGGCAGTGAACAAGCACTCTTCTCCTTATGAAGTACTTTTCTCAGATTGTAGCCTGTGCTGGAGTCGATCTCACTTATACCTTTATCCTTGCTAGTAGTTTAATCTCAGGCAGGCAATAGTATGAATGCCAATATAAAGTAATGACGCCCGCGTAATCTTTGAAAATGATGAGCCTTCTTTTTCTTTCTTTTGGTCGATGGTATAAAATATGGAGGAATGGCAATATTCAATTGTAAATAATCACTGCTCTGACAAGTAAATCATGATCTATCCCCTTGGCCCTTCTCAAGGTACAGGCAGTTCACTCCTTGGTTTATTTTATACCTGATTTGTCCAATTCTGATTTCAATCATAAACTTGGTAAAGCATCATGAATATTTCTTTACACATGTCAAAATGCAATACTACTCCAAACTCTATTTCTTAGTAGCGTGCTCTTCCAGAGTGATCCTTCGATCAATTTAATATTTAGTTAAAAATCTGGATGCAGTAGATTCTCTTGCAGAAGAGCTGGCGGTATTTAGCTACCTGGCTGAGAAATTTCCGCCTGTCATTTGTCGAAATCGTCACTTCATGCATAGTCCTAAAGAATTGATGAAATAAGAGCAGAATATCCCAGTAAGAAAGGATAGCATGTTTTCAAGACCAGACAAAAACAATTTTGTTTGTTACACAGTTAACAAAATTCTTTCAAATAGATGGAATGATCACAAACCGTCAATTTTCATTGGTAAGGGGAGCTCGTTCATAACAATTAAAGAAAGACGTACAAAACCACGTTCTCTCTACCATAAAGAACGAAACCATCACCCACCATACACACCCATATATATCAGAAATTCTTCTCTCGTGTAACCAGGTCCCTTCTATAATTTTCAAAAACAGCTCCAGTAAGAGAAGAATGACGAGGGATAAGTTTGGCTTCAGTCTAATTCCCTCGAATGGGAGCGGCATCATTCCCTTAATTAGGAATTATCGGGGTTTGCTCTCCTCATGCTGGTTATAATTTAAAGCTGTCTCCGACCATCTCTTGAATGGCAATGAAAAATTTGCTGAACTGATCCAGTGTAATCCGGAATCTTCTGAAAGGGTGTTGCTCCAAATTTTTATGGCCGTTCCACAAAGTAGAACAGGAACATGTGGCATAAACAGAAAAATGCAGATGGCATTTGACATCCTCGATTCCCCAGATTAAGTAGTTTAGCAGATAGTTCATGTTCAAGCAAACTTAGTGTATTTAAAGATGGTGAATAAAGGGACAACTAAATTAAATGCTACCGAATATCATCTTAAGTAAGGTCGCATGCAGATCTCGCTAACAGTAGCTAAGCTTCCAGGCAAACTCACCTAATGACCGAATGTTGAGAACCAGAGGTGGGACGATCCCAATTTTGAGTAGGTAAATCAGTGCCTTCAAATTCGACTTCCATTTTAGGGGACAACCCAAAATCAGGAAGTGGATGGATACTGAGGGAGGAAACGTAGGAAAGATCATAAACGGAAAGGATCTGACATAAACATTTTATTGACTAAACAGTGGAACTTTCTGCTAAAGGCCATTTAAGCAGACCTCTGTCTTCTTTTGTAACAAAAGAAATGTGCATCAACATTTCTTGGGGAGGTTGAATGAACAGAATCGCCACAGCTATCACTGGAAAGAGAAGGGACCTGCATAAAATATCGTGAAGAGCATGAATGTTCCGGCTTGCAAGATGCTGCCATAACTGAACAAAATGAATACAATAATTGTTTTCGGACATAGAAAAAGTGAAAGATGCAGGGAATGAGAAGCTTTAGACAGAGAAGCAACACAAGTAGAATTTAAGAATCCATGACAAGATTCTTGAGAGGTTCTATAAAGACCAGGTCAGAATTGTGCCTATTTAATGATTTTTCAAAACTCACTCCAAAAGTGATAAAACAATGTGAAAAAAGGAGCATGTTGTGATATAGGTACTTGCTGTCAACCCTAAGCAAAGCTCGGCTTTTCGCTAAATGCATACAGAGTGGCACCTGCTAAAAAAACAAGGCAAACACGCGTTCCAGAAAACGATTTTATCAGTAACTTAGAAACGCACAGGGATGCAGCGGGATGACAAATATCTGCTTTCTTATTGATCAAATGACCGATTGACATATGTCGTAAATGACATTCAAAGAGCTATAAGACCCATATTTACTTTCCGTAACGAAAGCATATTGGATAAGGCATCGAGGTGAAATGTAAAATATGATGAGGCATCGACTTGATGACCTTCAGACAATTGACTTTGTGAACGAAGCCTGTGACTGTCTACAGCCTGTTACCTGCCCAAGGCGGACTTCGATTGCTGGTCGAGTCGCGGGATTCTGAGCCATGTGAAGCAACTCTTTATGCAGAAGGACATCTTCTGCCGTTTCCACGTTCACATCCAAAGCATATCTACAAGCAACATATCAGATTCCGCCAGAGGAGGCGTCAGTTAACCATCGCCATAAGAACACGAGGAGTTCGTTGAAGATCCTCCAAGTAGTACCAGTCAAATTGTTCCTAACCGAGAAAGCAGTCAGGAGAGAAAGAAAACGGAAAATATACGATGGAAACAGAGAACACACGGGTGCACTCCAGTCAAGGGACCGGGAACCCACCACCCCGTCAAGCTCACCCATCAAATAATTCACAATACAGAGAGCTGGTCCGAGTTAAGGCAAGTAGAGAGCAACATATATTCGTTGAAATGTGAAGTTTTCGTTCACTCCACATGATTCATCGTTAAACTGATGACCAAGAATCGTGAATTCGACACTCAACGATCGCGAAACGGGGAATCGGTCTCTGAACAGCCGGTACGAAGAAATCGTAACTCGAAATGGCGCACGGAAGGAAACGAACAATCGTCGTACGAACAAATTTCGCCTAATTCGAGCAAGAACACTCGAGTCCACTCGTCAATCCGTCCATCTCCGGCTCGCAAAAAAGAAATTTTCCCCTCGCTTTCTCGGAAAAAAGAAAAGGAGAAGAAAAAAAAAAAGGACCGGAAAAGCGAGACCGAAAAGGAAACAAAAGAAAAACTTCAAAAAGCCGAGCGTTGGCGGGCACCTGATCGGCAAGCGGCTGAAATGAGCCCAGAGATCCTCTTCGAACCCGGGGCGCGACGCCTCCTCGTGTCCCACCTCCCTGAGCCGGCGGAGCACCTCGCTGTACACATCCACCTTCCGCCGCCGCCGCCCGCTCCGCCCCCCCGGCGCGCACGAGTCCGCCACCCTGCTGCTGCAGCTCTCCGCCGCTCCCCCGCCGCCGCCGCCGCCGCCGCCATCCTCCTCCTCCTCCTCCTCCCGCATCGACTCGGAGGAAGCGCGCCGCGAGAGCTCGAATCGGGGCCGCGGACGCTCCTCCTCCTCCTCCCGCCTCCCCGGCGCCCCCGCGCGATCCCCGGGCTCCGAATCGCGGCCGCCGCCGCCGCCGATCAGCGACATGCACGCCGTCGGTCCACGCGTCCCGTCCCGCCCGTCCGTTCCCGCCGGAGAGAGGCGAAGAGAGCGAGAGATGAAGAGAGAGAAATTACTAGACCGAGAGTCTGTCTCTCTCTCTCTCTCTTGGTTGCATGTTATTATAAAAGAAAACAAACGGCCCCTCTCTCTCTCTCTGTGCAAAGCTTTCCCACGTTTTTCTTATAAGCGTGATTAGTTTGGAGAGAGAGAAAGGGGGGATATTAGGAGCGCTTAATTAAAGTGCGCCCCGGGGGTGTGGGGGGGTGCGTAGTGCGCACCCCTTGCATAAGCAACCATTTTGCCCCCTCTCCTCCCCCCCGGGCCCCCCCAATGCTTGTCGACGTGGAAGGATTTTAACAACGCTGCCTTGCCTCGCTTATATCACCACCACCACCCCCCCCCCGCCTTCCTTTCCCCGCCTTAATTATATCTTTATCTTACACGTCCCCTAGCGGGATTAGAAGATGATTAAAAGCTCCTTGACTCCCCCGCGGTGGTTGTTTTTTGTTTTTTTTTTTTTTCTGTGTGCTTCTTTTTGTTTGGTTTTTTTTTTTTTTTTTTTTGTCTTTCTAAAACCCTTGGAGAGGAGATCCCCGTCCAATCGCCGTCGGAGCAAATGCCTTGCTTGCTTCCTCGCCATCACCCACCACCTTTTCTTTTTGTTTTTTTTAGAATGACATATCATTTTCATTTCCATTTTCATTTTCCCTTTTTGTATTTTCCGGGGAAAGTCCGACCGAAATCCTTGGAATTACGTGTTGGAGGGGGGCGACCCGTGTATACTAGAAACATATGAATCCCGTAGAAAATTAGCTCGGGAGACTCTGGAAACCTCTCTCGTGTGCAAGGCGGGCTTGGGTCCGGGGTTAGGGCTGCAGATGCGAAATAAATTGGGACCGAACCGGGTTTTGATATCATGTTAGAAACTCTCGAACTTTCAAGTGGGGAAACACAAGTGTATATAAAGAGTATATGAACTCCGAAGAAAAGCGACATGATAGTCTTAATGAACATAGGAAGTGTTTGGGCCGATTGAGCACACGACTGATTTACCAAGAAGGAATATGTAGATACGGTAAAGTAATTTCTTTTTCGGATTTTTTTTATTTTGCGCGAATAACTTACTCATCGACGTGTGACCTCGAGATTAAAAAAAAACGCGTAAATACGGTGATTTGTACACAGCTGTAGAACGAGGTGGGACCCGTCAAATGCACGGCTTTTCGGGTAATTCTTTTTTTTTCCGAAGAAAATGGATTTTTTTAAATAAAGTCCAATAGGGAGTTCCCGTTGCCTCATCACCCACTTATGATTATTTAATTTTATTTATTTATTTAAGGGGGAAATTTATTTTTAAAAAAATGGGGGGAAAGCAGATATTTATGTCACGAGTTGCATTAGCGAGGAAAAAGTATATTCTCCCATTGAATCTAGCAATCAGCTTATCCATATGTGGAGATTCTTTTTCCCTGCGGCGATTCCAACATGTCCAACGTGGATGCGTCCAATCAGAAAAAAAAAATTATTTTTTATTTTATTTTATTTTATGTCGCCTAGGGCCTATCTGGATAATCATTGGCTCTTATTAATCCCGTCTCTTGCCTCCGACGGATCTTCGGAATCAATGCTAATTATTGTTATCTCTAGAAATAATTAATTAATAACAAGTTTTTATTATTATAGATAATAATTTATGTTTAGATTTTTTCGCGGACGATGAAAATATTTTTCACTTGTTCATTTTTATATTCCAAATCATTCATATCCCGCAAAAAAAACGGAGCCTTCATGTCGAGACCTTTTTTTTTTTTTCTGCTTGACCAACCAATACGGAGAACTAATTGCGTAATTTTGTCTATTATTTTTAGATATGATCAAGGTATTAGTCATTTCATTATCTCGTCGAGTCAACGATTAATATAAATTTTATCCTAAATTGATATGGTGATTTTTCGCCATTTATCAAGTTATTAAAAATCGGATACCATTCTGTCATGTTAAAAAAAAAAATTCATCGTCATATGATATACCAACGACTCCAAAAAAACGTTATTTTAGGCAAGCTAGCAACGTCGACTCGTGCGACATCATTTAGGATGTCCACGTGAATTGGTTTTTAATTAAAAAAATACCAAGTCAAATTAAAGCTTTTATTGTAAAAGCCACGTAATATTTTTTGTTGGAATTTCTTGTCGAAAGCGCTTAATTGATTATTTTTTTCTCCAATTTGGCACTTAAGTCCCAAAAAACTTTTGGCATTAAAACGAGCATTATACGAAACTTTTGACACTTCATCTCTCTCTATCTCTCTCTCTAGTCAGCCTTTTGCCCATTGTCACGAGTCCTTTGTGAGCGTCTTTATTCAGGCTTGTCTAGGGCGCATCGACCATGGCTGTTGATGTCAAGCACGCATCCATGAAGCATAAGGGCATTCTAGACTGTTCATATTTTTTTTCGCACGACTCCCGGGCGAAAAAAATGACACCGCACTCTTGATTCTCAAAATAGGCGTCGTTCGTCACCGTCGTTTAACGCTTGAGTCCCACTGAAAAAACGACTCCTTGTAACTGTTGTTTTCTAACCGTCACCGTCGCTAGCTAGCCTTCACTTGCTTGCATACCGTATATGTTGCTCTCACTCAATCACTCGCTAAAGGTTCATCATCCTCTCTCATTCACTCAATTGGCTGGAAAAATTAGGACTCGGTTCTTGGTGTGACTATGGGAACCTCAATCTGTTTAATCAATTCGATGCTAGCTTTGTTGAATTGGCGATTTAGGGTTTATATTTGGGGCAAAACTTGTACACGATATCGTGTTTGGTATATATGCTAATTGGGCACGCCGGTGAGCCACGTCGGTCGAACAAATTAATAAAATACGGCCATATTGGATTTCCAGCGATCCAAATTAAGATTGGCATTTAAGTGATCGTTTTTTATTTAAAGTGGTATTTAAGTAATTCGAAAAACTCTTTTGGCATTAAAGTGAGCATCGTATAAAACTTTTGATACTTCGAATGTTCTTATGCTGTTGATTTGTGCTTGTTAGGGTTTGGGATTTGAATAAATGGTATTCGTGTATTTTAGGGTTTGGGATTTCATTGTGTAGAGAAGAGATGAAATGCGATAGGCACAAATCGGCACTGGGCGAAGGGGTAGGGATGAGAGCATAAAAAAGGAACTCCATCCTTTTATTGTGAGGATGAAAGAACACATCTCAACCATTGAAACTAAAATGAGTATTTCGTGTCATTCATTAAATCGAATGGATTTAGTCTTGATAGGCAAAAGGGTGGGAAAGAATGACCAGTGTTAACGTCCAAACATCATGTCACTATTATAAGATTTCCATACCCTCTATGAAAAGCTTAGGTAGAGCTATAGTTATTGCGAACATCCCGTGACACGGAGTTCAAAATTGATAAGCCCGTCATCAGAGCCCCATCAAAATGATAGCAATTAGGAAGTCTCTCTACACAGGATATGTCTAGTTAGGCGGCGTGGGACAGATCATTCGGTGATTCGCTCACGATGACAATCGAAGTCATGACCTCGTGAAAAGCGCCGTTCCATTTATTTGTTAAGCCAATCATTACGACGGCGAATCGAACGAAGTTATCACATCAATCGAAAGGATGTCCTTTCTTCCTAAGACGATAGAGAGAATCTCGGTTCTTCAACGATCATGATGTCCCTTTAATGGGCGGGAAAAAGATCCAAAGGGAAAAGAGAGAGCAAAAAAAGGTAACGAAGGGAAAACAGCGGTGGCAAGACCTCATTGGCACTCCCAACATGACGTTCCCATCAGATGTCGTCAGCAACCCAAAATGCTTTTCCCCAAAACGAAAATAGATTCCCCTCAGCTTCCTTGTAAAACGACATCGTCCCCGCCCCCTCCCTCTCGCCAAGCTTCCTCTTTGTCCAATAATTAATGATTTGAACGATATTTTTATAAAAACGATTGCTTGTATCGGTTAAAATATCAATCGACGAGAAACATTTTCGCCACCGACAGCAATTTATGTCTCGAATAGCTTCGTGGACGATGACAATATTTTTTGCCCGTTCATTTTTTGTATTTGATATAACCGATCATTATAAGAAAATTATTTTGCAAATCATTCATTTTCAGTGAGATAATTATTTTCCATTTATTCGGCAGTTCAGGGAATGTGACTCCCTCCTTGCCAGTCGGGGAACGTCGTCTTCCCCTAATCTAAACCCGCTGTTTTCAGTCCATGGACAACGTTTTCTGTAAATCGGTTAATTTTCCGTCGTCCAGACACAGAAAAGTCAAAAAATAATTTTCCCGGAAATCGGTTTCCCGTCGAACAAACGGACCCTTAATCTTTAAATTAGAGAGTTAACCGCGGCCGGAGGCTTCTATTCTAGGGGCTAGCGTGCCGGATCGCAATTGGGGGGGTCCAAAAAAACGAAAGCGATGTTGGACCATCCCGTCATCGGCCGAATTGGCGAATTATTTTATGTTGAACCCTCCCCTGCTACGCATGACCTCTCCGTCGCCATTGGGCCCAATTGGAAATCGTGTCATTGGCTTTACCCTTACTTCTATCATCTTTTTCCTTCCTGTTGGCTTCATTTCATCACCCATCCGCCCCCGTCCCTTTCGTAAGCCCCCGATTTCCATATCGTTTGCCCCTTTCGCTTAAATTATAATTTTACCCGTAATATGATATCATAATCTTAAATTGGACCGACCGTCGTTAAAATGCCTAATTCCAATAAAAAGTTCGGATCAAAATCGTCACTCGAGATAAAGTTGGTAACTTTTTTTTTTCGGGGG